AAGAAAAGAAATGGAAAGAAAAGGAAAAGAGAAGTAGTCGGAGTGGATGAGCTCCAACACAGGAGCCCTACTCACCGCCATCTTGTTAGCCTGATACCTCAAGGAAAAGAAATTTCAGAACATTAAAGGAACTTAGTCAGCTTCAACTCACCATTAACTGGGCTGCCAGAGGAAGTGGTAGATGTGGGTACAGTTGCAACATTTAAAAGACATTTGGACAGGTACATGAATAGGAAAGGTTTAGAGAGAGATATAGGCCAAACGCAGGCAAATGGGACAAGTTTACTTTGAAAAACTTGGACGTGTTGGATCGAAGGGTCTGTTTCCATGCTGTATGACCCTTTGATTGTACAACATCTCCTCCTTCAAATGTCCTCCTCTGTATGAGTGTCCAAACTGGCAAAACTATCACAGATTCAAATCTATCTGCAAATATATAATAGCAGAAACATCCAACCAATATCAGTACGTGGATTCCTAACTTAATAACTCAAAGACATTGTTATCTATGTCAGGGCTCGTGAGAGTTTATGTATGAAACTATAATCTTTTAATAATTGCAATTTTTTAATAAGAATCAATTCTGGATTACGTTGAGTACTATAACATAGAGTATATGGTAATTAAAGATAGGTATAACATGGCAATTTTACTTTAATAATACATTTTTAAAAATCACTTTAAGAAACAATTGGACGTTCTAACAAATACTTGTTACAAAGATTATGCTCACAACACAGTATAATTTCTGAGTGGTTTGGAGTGTTTCTGTCTCAACTTTTAAGTGGAATTCTATTTAGAACACAACCCCTTCTTGTGCCCACCAAGTGCTGAGCTGTTCCTGAGTGTCTGTGTCTGATCACATGTTGGCTTTTTAAGAAATTATCTTCCTCTCTGTAGCAGTTACAAACAGACTGCTATTGTGCATTGTTCAGATCTTATAGAAATAATAGACCCTTCTTTCAAGAGGTCGAGTTTAGAGTAAAAAAAACTCACAGATGCAAGATTAGCAAGGGTACTAAGGCCATTTCACACCTCACTGTCTGCAATACCATCTGAGAACTTGCCTCTGGCTAAATATCAAATTCTCATACTGCTGAGATTCTGTTGTAAATTTAACACCTTAAGTGCTGGATTAACTTTGTCATTTTCTTTACAACAGGAACATTTACAGCGTCAAGGCGTCTATCATCAAAAGACTGGAATTATTGATGTGTTGCCTTTTTGCCTACTCTGAGGGCCCCAACCTGACACCAACCAATCAGTGAACTGGATGACTCATTTACATAGCACCATTCTCATCCCAGAGATGTGTCTTACAGTCAATGTTCTTTCAAAGTTTAGTCAGAAGTATGCAATGTGATTTAATGTAATGTCACATGGATTTCATTCAGTAAACCATAGAGCCCATGCAAAATAAATATAAAGATAGTTCTTACGTTAGAAGCTCTGATTGTGAGGACATATTTATCTAGGTCCAGAATTAGAAGATTTAGTTTTAATCTTAATTAATTTTTTATAGTCCCTTGATGGATATCTTTATTATTTCAACATTCCAGTAGTCAATTTACTTAACATGGAAGTCTGCTGTCTTACCCTGTGTCTATATGTGTTTTTGAAAATGGGTAATGTGCCATACGCATGTTCATTAATACTGACGAAAAATTGCCTTTTAAGCCATTCACTGTTGTAAGAGCTAAGGTGCTTGCCAGCAGAGAGGCTATTAAAAGCATTGTTTGGTGTGTTCTCATTGTACATTATTGGGCATGTCACTCCATCTTTTCATTGCCTGTAATATAATCCCTGCTGAATAGTGTTTGTGGTACACTAATGTTGTGATAGGTTGGCATTGTCCCAGATGCTGCAAAGCAAAAAGGGGTTCAGCGGGGAACTGGGAGTGGAACAGCTTTGGAGTGCAAAGGTGTGTGAGCAGAATGTGCAAGGGCCACTCAGGACTCACATTCTTCCTCTTTTTCTTTCGATCACTGGATCAAATTTTTTCTCCTATCCAACGACTATGGTTGAAATCACGGGAAATGTATGTAGAATCTGCTTTGTATTGGTTTCAGTGTAGAACCACTCCAACTGTGCCAAGAGTTCTGGGAAGAAGAACAAAGGAAGTCAGTTTGTGTGTGCACCATACACAATAATTCATTCCAGGATGGAATTTCTCCCCCACACTCACCACTCCTACACCAACCAAGATTTCCTAAAAGGGAAGGTAGGAATGCTCAGCCTATTTGGGTGATCATGGTATTCAGTAATATGCTGCTGTGTTCTGTTAATAACTGTTGAATGGAGTTCTGATCCTACCCAGTTCCAGCTGTATGATGTAATTGTCATGATGGTATCCAGTGTTCATGATTTGTTTCCCTTTAGTATTCACACGCACACTCCAGTAAAAATTTACCACAAACAAAATAACGTGCTTGCAGTTGCTTGCTATCAAACATACTGATTTGATCTCCCATAAGTTCCCTTGGTAGTTATGAAAGTGAACTATACGAGGAAGGTCTGTGCTGGGTTACAGACAGGATAACAATGTAGGCTTTACAATTGGATTGGTGCTTCGTGGATAGAGAGGGCTTCTGTTGCTGGTTCTGAGCTGGGACTGAATTATTGCAGTGTCTCAAAAGTGGGTTTAGAGGCAGAGACTGAGAGCAAACCTAGGAAATAGTGTTTCAGAGATAGTAGGAACTGCAGATGCTGGAGAATCTGAGATAACAAGGTGTAGAGCTGGATGAACACAGCAGGCCAAGCAGCA